GAGTAGACTCAGAAATTCAAAACCTGCCAGAGTTCGCTTGCTTAAACACATGCTGCTAAATAGTATTTGGTCTGGTAATCCATTAGGCCGTTGAGCCCCCTCTAGCCAGCCAAATAGAAGCTGCTCGGGCATATGGAGGTGGGCATGTGAGCTACATGGCCCAGCCAATGCAACATGTATATCGTGGAGACAACAAACGCGGTTCTGCTTATTAATGCTTTTTCTCTGATCTGGCCGGGGGACACGGTGATTATGCGCAATCAGGAGATTGTGTAAGTTTAAATACTCAGTGGAGCCATTGACTCAGTCTGCCACTGCTACAGGGTACACAAAATGTGTACAGCTTTGCGGAAACACTCATGACTGGAACTTGCCAAACATCCCAATGCAAGACTCTCCGATTTCGTCAGGAAACTAGGCTAACACAGAGAAACCCCGTGCATGAGAGTGGATAGTATTTTGAGCTTTACACCGATGGGATTACTAACCCGCTTGCTGTACTGCCATATGCTGGTCACCTCGGAGCAAAGCAGGTTTTGGGAATATCCACCAACCCTTGCCTCCACGCGTGGCACTCATTGGTTATGATCCCACGAGAGACAGAGAGAGCATATGTAGGAGTAACAATCAATCGGTAGTATTTAATTCAATCTGCAATTCTGCATCATGGCCCAAGACCTCTTGAGAGACACTTGAAGCCCGAAGATGAATGTGGAACAAATGAATCACAGCATCGACAAGCGTCTTAATTGAGGCCTCGGCTGTAAACCACGAATATTGCGGCGACAATTAGCTCGTTGACCACACACACACACTTGCGCGCACAGTGGGATAATTTTCAAGTTCCCTGGAAGACCAGTGCACCTGCAAGCCGGGACTTGCAACCTGCCCCCCCCCCAAACCCCCGTGCATATTGTAATTATAATTCCTCAGAAGCCACGTGGGAGCCATCTGCTTGCAACATGTGCATAAGATGGATTATTGGAATGGACCTGCAAGTGTGTACCGCAACGCCCATCACACATTGCTAATGCGGCATGACTTCATCCGATTCGCATGTCAGGTCGCTCAGTTTATGCGGCCTATGATTTTCCTCAATGGACATCAAGCAGCCTTAAACAGGGAAATGACATGTTTGCTGCAATTCCCATCTAAGAATAGTATCTCCCGCGCGTGTTTTCATCACGACGATGAGACATGATTGGTCCACTGCTGCATGAAGGCCTCCCCAAATCTGCTGCCATCTCTCGCAATCCTAGCAATGACTTAAGACACCGAGCACTGACCGCACACTCGTCACAATTCTGAGAAGTGTAACGTGACTTTCTGTTCTTCTTCCGTACACAAGGTCAAGAAGGTCGTCGCGACCAGCGCCGCTTTTGACGATGCCACCGCCCCTTTGCAAGCGCCGCTTTTACGTGTTCAGCTATAGAGTCGACATGTGATTTCAAAATCGGTTCGTGACCTCTGGGTGTCTCTCCAATGCCTGTCTCAGTAGCCTCCCCACCTTCGAGCCTCAATCTTCCTGATTACATCTGCAATATTTTTTGCCACGTTAAAAGGGTACTTAAGCCTGTGCCTACTATGGGTTTTTTTGTTTGACATCCTGCAAATGCACGTGCATTGATAAGCTCGGGTTTTTTTAGTTTACTCGCTCGAGACGGAGCTATCTTAGCACCAAAGACAAAGATCCCCCGTATATCATCATGTAACAGACCGTTGGGGCAAGTGCCGTTAGCGAGCACCTGTGACTCAGCACCGCAGCAATACACACACGCCTCCTGCCTCGAACGCCCATCCATCTGTCAATGCTAAAGTCGTCTGTGTACAGCATGTACTCCATTGCTAATGTTTTATTTTCCACATTATGAAAATAAATAACGAATACATAACCTTGCAAAATGCAATTAACGTGACAAATGAATTATTTATATTTATATAACATGAGATCAAACACTTACCATTACCAGTGCTTATTATTATTTCAATTAATCAATTACCTTCATTTGTAACTCGGTGAGAATACTTTCAGCCAGACGCTGAGAGTAAAACACCAATAAGTTCTAGGCTAATTGCGCATGTACGCGGTCAATTTGCAATCCACTGCTGGATGAAGGAGTAGCTCAGCTGTAATCCAATCTCCCTCGATCTTACAAATCGATTTCATCCCTCTGTCTCCCTTTCAGTTACACTTCAAAGCGTGTTCTATTTCTGAGTTTCTAGTCCATCACGAGGTTAATCCAGGGCTTATCACCTTTGCTTGTATAGACTTTTACATACATGCACATATGCACCGTACAGGGTATAATAATAATAATAACGAAAGCATTTTGTCACTCTCTCCGGAGGGAGATTAAACTAATGATGCTGAAAACGAAAAAAAAGTGTTTTGCATTTCGGGGAAAGGACCCTAATCCCATCACACACAAAAAATCCCTCATGAATGTTCCATTAAACAAATCCTTCAACATTTCAAGTGTATCCGATATGGATTGTAAAGCAGACGTTTACAAGCCTGCAAGAATGGCTTAGTCATTCCAGGCATATAACAAATTGCCTCGGACATTAATAACCAAAGCCCGTTTGTTGTTGAAGGCATTTCATCTGAAGTGCAGCATTCATTTTTGGAAATTCGTAGTTTTTTTTTTCACTCTGTTTGAAAGGTGTTTTTTGTTTGTTTATTTGTGATATGATTTAAACATTCTGGACATTTTTTTCTCAAAAAATCTGCGTGTCCACCCTAAAGCAACGGCGAGAATTTACAATTCCAACGGCAGAGGCCATCTTCTTCATAGAATGACCACCATTGGCCTCCCACAAAGTTGTACTACACTCATTATATTGACCCTGAAGGAACAATCGGCGGAGTTGACCCTATTACGGGTTTCAACTTTGCAGCTTTCCAATTGAGCGTCAAACGCTCAGCTGCAGCATGCTCTGGCCAGACAATACCCTGGTCCACTGTTCCAGTATTCATATTCATGTTCATATATTTTAAAAAAGTATTGTTGGAGGGACACAATTGGAAAAAGGACCGTTATCATTAGCTATACCTAGCAAAATATCGAGGGTGGCTTGGAATAAAAAATTATGAAATAATTACTTGAATAAGATCATCATATAGTGTTTTTTTAAACTGAGTTTAAACATGAAATGCAGAAATAAAGTGAACTTGACAAAGAACTAAAGAAAAGTTAACTAACGGGGAGAACATGTACCCTTAAAATATACAGGTGTTAGGGTCGGTCAGGATCGAACCCACGACCTCCTGTATACCAAGCGAGGTAGTTAACATCTCGCCACCAATCAGTGCACATTGTCCACTGTGATGTGTGTATTGTAAACATAGGCAATGACAAAGAAAAAACAAAACCTACAAAGGTCTTGGAATTACATTGAGATGCAAAAATTATGCGCAAGCATCAGCAAACAAATGCCAATCAGCAAAATCGTATTGACTTGTTAGGAAAGTAAGTGGGCTTGGTCAGAACACATTACGAGAAGGGATTGAGGCTGATGGACAAAGTTGGTCACGGAATTAAAGCCGAGGGAAAGGGAAGAATGTGCCCATTGGGGCAATAAACCCAAAGCCGTAGCGATGAAATCAATTCATGCGCGGGCATGATTTGCATTGTGGCATCTCAGAACTGTGACAGATGGTGATGATATTGGGCAGTTGTGCATCCAATGCTGCTCGGAGCGAGGATGAACGTATGCATGCACGTTGAACTTCTTACGCACCGTACGTAGCCAACCACGCTGATTGGATGTGCGCGTGGGGGGGGGGGGTAAGGACAATCGTCGTCGACAATCGTGGTCACCGCCATCGCACGAGCGTTGAAGGAGACCCTTCCTGCCCGTCATCCCCGGCGCGTGAAGCCCCAGCCCACCTTAAATTTCGATTTAAAGCTTTCGTGACTGCAGGGATTCATCTTCTTGGCTCTTTCGGTAAAGTCACGTAGAATGGAAATAATAAAATAATAAAAATAAAACATTATAAATTAATTGTATTGTTTTATTTTTATTATCTTCTTGGTTCTTTCGGTAAAGTCACGTAGAAGGGAAATAATAAAAAAATAAAAATACAACATAATAAAATAAATGTATTATGAAGGTAAATAATAAAATAAAATAAATAAAACATAATAAAAAATGTATTATGTTTTATTTTATTTTATTATTGTATTATGAAGGGAAATAATAAAATAATAAAAAATAAAACATGATAAAATAAATGTCTTGTTTTATTTTTATTATTTTATTATTTCCCTTCACAATAAATTAATTTTATTATGTTTTATTTTTATTATTTTATTATTTCCCTTCGTAATAAATGTATTTTATTATGTTTTATTTTTATTCAGTGGCGGCTCCTGCAAAATCTCTCAGGGGGGCAAATGTCTGGATGATTGATAAGGATAAGGTCCACCCATGCAATGGATAAATTAACAGCTTAAGCATGTAAAGGCAACTTCACTTCTTTAATATTAATGAAAAATAAAGTGACTCTTACAATACATCTTGTTTGTTTCTATACTCACTATTAAAACAAACCACTCAAGTTTATTTTATTAAAGATTCCACTCGGTGGCGATAAATTATATTGTTGGATGAAACGTGCTTACGTATGATGACGTTAGCACGTATGATGACGTAATCACGTTAGGGCGAGCCCTCCCGGAAGCCATAGAGAATGCATTGGAGCGCACCCCGGTCGAAAAAAAACATCTTTCAATGTAAGTCTATGGGGCCACTCGGGGCGATTCTCAGCCAGAGTGAAATCGCCCAAAAAGAGGCGGTACTCCACAGAACGTGACATGACGCTGATTGGACTATATCCAGAGGCTGCAGTGACGGCTAGCGTGACTCTGTGGTTCAATGACATTGGTGGTGCGTCGCCCAATTGCCCTAATGAAGAAACCGCCCCTGTTTTTATTATTTTATCATTTCCCTTCTACGTGACTTTACCGAACGAACCAAGAAGATGAAGCCCTGCCCACCTGTCCGCCTCAGGGGCGCCCCTCTCGAGTTGTCCGGCGAGCAGCGAGGCGATGGCCGCGTAGCCGTTGCTCATGCGGTAGACCTCGCGGCCGTGGATGCGCAGGAGGCCGAACTTGTCGGTGATGCTCTTGATCTCCAGCAGGAGGGCGTGGTGTGACGTGTGCTCCGTGCTGGACAGCAGGGACACCATGTGGTTCAGGCACTGGCGCGCCCTGTCCTGCGTGGCACAGAAGTTCAAAGTTCATTTATTAGGTGTAGGACCTGTGAGCCATTCGGCTCTTGAATCGGGTGCAACCGCAACAAACAAACAAACAAAAACATGAACAAGTGACTAAGTGCAAACAGAAAATCCAAGAAAAGACAGCAAAATATTGCAGAAAAAATTACCGTACACCGACACTGTGTGCAAAAATCCCAGTGGGATGCAAGTCAAACAACAACAAACATTTTCTATGCGGAGAGCCGAGATATTTTTTTTGTCGGACCGTTATTAACCAGGCAAAGTCTTAACTAACTGTGATGTTTCCATCCAACATGCCTATGTCAGCTGTTATTTCATGCTAATCTCTCACATTAACATGGCCACTTCCGTGCCCAGTTAAATGCTAATTTCTCACATTAACATCATGCTAATCTCTCACATTATCATAGCTACTTCTGTTCCCAGTTACATGTTAATTTCTCACATTAACATCACTAGACCCAGCCACTTCTTTATGACCCATGGGCTACACCCATTTCAAACCTTTTTAAAACAATCTGCATCAGCAGCAAACCATGCTTTCCCACCTGATGACAAATGCTTGTGTTGCGCCCGAAAACGTCGTGATTTAATTTATTTTATTTTTTACCTACGTGACTTTACCGAAAGCACCAAAGAGTATGGATTCCTGCAGTCACGAAAACTTCAAATCAAGATTGGACCGCTGAAATATATAGATTTAATTTTAAATGAAAAAAATAATCTCTTAAATTTCGATTTAAAGCTTTCGTGACTACAGGGATTCATCTTCTTGGTTCTTTCGGTAAAGTCACGTAGAAGGGAAATAATAAAATAATAAAAATAAAACATAATAAAATAATAAAAATAAAACATAATTAAATAACTTATTTGATTATGTTTTATTTTTATTATTTTAAATAAAACATAATAAAATAATTTATTTTACTATGTTTTATTTTTATTATTTTATTATTTCCCTTCTACGTGACTTTACCAAAAGAACCAAGAAGAATAATCTCTTAGTTTCGTTCACGTTTTAATGTCCTAAAATGAGGGAGGGCAATCTCGCCACGAGCAGAGGATATGGTAGCCTGACGCACACCACGGCGCGGGTTTGCCGTGTACACTTCAAGTGGCAACCTTGCCTTCGCTCGTCTTTGGACATGAATTGTCTGAATAATTGACACGACATCGCTTGATCTATCGTGTCGGTCGCTTGGTGGTTCTGCTGTTGGTGACCCTGAGGTCTCATGTTGATGTTGCAGCGAGTTTAAATTCTACCGTGTTACACGTGCTCTACGTCAGCATTAATGTGGACATCAAAAATAAGAAATAAATAAATAGCCAATGATGTAGATTGTATGTTTTTATATCAATGGGGAGTCATGGGTAAAGTTTTGTACTGACAAGGATTCAAACTGAGAAGAAACACATCCCAAACGCTCGGATTATTTGTAGAGTACACCATCTCCAATTTGTCTTCTCAACAGCTGTCAATCCAGTCACATTCGATGAAACACAAACATCGCTGTCCCAGAACGAGCTGAAATTTTTAAATCACACTAGAATTCAACACAGCGCTCACACACAATTTCACAACGACACCTTGCCAGACTCATGCACCTTTCAGCAGCTGATGGGATGTCATGAGAATATCCTCAGCTGAATCCTGAACATTATTATCACTCTGTCCTCAGTCAACCGCAGACATGTCAGACATGTACTCAAACATTGCCTTGCAGATTCAAAGTTCAAAGTTCATTTATTAGGTATAGCCCTGTGAGTCATTCGGCTCTTGAATCGGGTGCAACCGCAACAAACAAAAAGCAAAAACATGAACAAGAAAACATCTTAAAGTAACTAAGTGCAAACAGATAATACAAGAAAACACAGCAAAATATTGCAGAAAAAATCACCGTACACCAACCCTGTGCAAATATCCCAGTGGGATGCAAGTCAAACAACAACAACAACAACCACAAGACAACTTAGATTAAGGCCATCAGTCTTACTCTGTACTACAACAAACAAACTTGGCCAAACCAAAAAACTTTTCGAAAATCACCAAAATAAAGCCATAAAAGCAATGAAACAGTGATCATAGGAACTGAGACCGAATTTTCACAATAAGATTGTCACACGCCCGAATGGGCTGTGGACATCAACAAGACAAAGCTCAAGGGACGAAAAGAAAAGGGCAGCTCGTAACAATCGGTTGGGCACAACAGCAACATGCATTTCACCGGATGACCCACAATCCCATTCGTGATCGATCCTGCTGTAGGCATATGTTGAGCATGGATACCCGTGGACTATTCATTCGGCCTATAACAGCGCAGCATGTGTCACACCCCCTAAACATTTGCACATGCGCAGCGCTGAGATCACAAAAGAGTGTTTTCCAATCTTCCGTCATCAATTTTAATTTTATGATCCTCGGGATATTCCCGAGTGCGTAAACATGTTTTGTAGGGAAGTAAAACTTCGTACAATCTCTGGGATGGAGTGTCTTCGGCAGAGTGTGGACAATGTAGGGTATTCAACAAATAACATGTCAATTAATATTACCACGACTACTACTACTACGCTTGCTTAGCCAGGAAAAACCTCGCTGAGTCTCAGGACTCTTTCAAGAGGGTCCTGCCAAGTTTTTGCAGCAGGGGGGCAATGGTGTTGCTGTGTACAAATCCAAATTAAGTTGATTTGCAGATAATTTTTCAGGATTGGGTTTGTTTGGCCAACACAGTACCGATTACACTGTATGTGTCTTTTGTAGATAAACACGTGGGTCTGTGTGTTTCGCTTTAGTTAAACACACGCGATTGCAATGTGTTCATTTACTGAATTCACCTGCAACATAACGAGAAACGAAGTGACGATAATATCTGAATTGATAATACAGGTTTCTTGTTGGGTTATATCGCGTCAATATAAATGTGTCATTAAACCCGCTACCACCTGACTCAGCCAATTAGTAAGGTTTGTCATGTAGAGAGAACATGCCATTCGTTAGAGAGCAAATCCACAACAATCTGGCTGCCGCCTGATGATGCCGGTTGTAATTACTGGCGAAACGTCGTACTCAGATTATAAATGTTGTAGCTTGGCTCTCCAACACACCGGTGTGCTGTACTAGTAACGAATTGGCATGTTCTCTCTACATGACAAACCTTCCTAGTTGGCTGTGGCTGGTTTAACGACACATTTATATTTACGCGATCTAACCCAAAAAAATAACCTGTATTATGGATGATATTGGTTTTCGAAAGTCTACGTGTTAAGCTGAATATCTCAATTGGCTTAAAGGCCACCTAACTATGCCCTATGATTGCTGCTGCCGTGTTTTGTAGCGGTTAGCCTACCGGGCTTGCGATGCAGAGGCAGACATACAGTATTGATCTCCAGGCGCGGCAGCTGAAACGATCGCGCAAGTCTCTTAATTCCCTTCCGCCACCTCTGTCCACCCAAGCAGTAGAGATGTGTAACAGCTCGGCTATTCGAGTGGCAGGTTGTGTGTGGTAGGGTGAAGTGTGAGTAGTCGAAGAGACGCAACAGTGGGGCATTCAGCGAATGCGACGCATAGGGGACCAGTCGGACACAAGGGGGCCCCGAATCAACAGGAGTAACAAAATGTCGATTTAAAGCTTTCGTGACTGCAGGGATTCTTATTCTTGGTTCTTTCGGTAAAGTCACGTAGAAGGGATATAATAAAATAATACAAATAAAACAATAAAATTCTCACGACGTTTCCATTGCAACACAAGCAATCATCATCAGGTTTTCACACCTGATGATTCACACCTGATGACGATTGCTTGTGTTGCAATCGAAACGTCGTGAGAATTTTGTTTTATTTTTATTATTTTATTATTTCCCTTCTACGTGACTTTACCGAGAGAAACAAGAATATCAGTAACAAAATGTTAAGACATTTTATTTTAAATAACATGATAATTATATATACTTACAGCCTACATATTATTGTAAACGGGATAAAAAAAAACATCCGTAACTCTTTCAGTAAAGTGAGTAGGAGGAAAGGATGGGGGCCCACGTCCGTATCTTGCAAATCCCCGGTGAAATAAATACTTGCGCCCCTGGGTATTCCGACCACTTCCAAGACGTCTGGCCGGTATGGAAGAGTAGGCCAAATGCACTCTAGAGGGGCTCTCTAGAGCTCCCTCTAGTGAAGGCTCTTCTGCCAACAGTCGCTGACGCAAAACATTGCAGTCCTGTACCTTCATCTTCTTACGTATTACCTCTACCGATGCAATTATCCAATACGATACGGCATTTCGACCTTATTTCATAATGATAAAAGATACTGTACCTATACTCTTTGGTTCTTTCGGTAAAATCACGTAGGTAGAAAAATCAAATAAAAATAATAATAATAAAATAAAATAAAAATAATTATAATCATTATTTTTTTCATTATTTTTTTCTACCCACGTGACTTTACCGAAATAACAAAAGAGTATGGATTCCTGCAGTCACGAAAGCTTCAAATCAAGATACTGTACCTACTTCTATACAAGTCATGCTTCTGGGCCACCATTCGCAATCTCTTACGCTGACACTCCATAGCGAAGGGACAGCAAACAAAACGTTGACATTTGCAATTTGCAAGGGATTTCTTGCGTCGTGGGTATAAAGACCCAGGTCATGCCACTTATTTATCGTTATAAGTATACACTATTAACCCAGTTACTCATTTGAAGTAATGGACAACACTCCCTCGATACAAGTGACCTCAACCTGCTACATTATCTCAACGCGTTGTGCGACGACGGACAAAATTTTTTTTTATAAGGAAAGATAAAGTACTGTGAACAACGTATGTACGAGTACAGCTGTTTGTGCCAATCCACTGCTGAACACGTGTTCAAAAAATAAGAGCCAGTTTTAAATCAAATGTCGATGCTCATGGATGTGGGTCTCCCCCCCCCCTCACCCCCTCCCACGTTGTCGTGACGTGGGGATCATTTGACCAA